CACTTAAGGCAATGTATGCATTAGAATACTGTCTGTAATTGCCTTAAGTAAGAAGAAAAACAATTGTTTTCCTGATTAAAGGCATAAAGTATACACCACCTGGAATTAGGTGTAAATTCCCCCATGTGAAACATTACTTGAATGTATTGTGGAGGTTTGATATCTTAGAGCTTTGACTGGTGTCTGCAACGTGATACAGGTTATGGGCTACTCTGTTTTACTCGGTTGAAAATTATCCTGCCTGAAACAGATAAGATCGTGATCTTTTGCAATGGAGGCTTGGGAAACCGTATATATTTATGCCTCCGTATTTCACAACAGCCTAAACCAAATTAAATGAGGCAATTTACAATTGCCAAAATTATTAAGCAGTTAAAGCTCCCCTTTTCCTAACAAGTTCAAGTGGTGTAAAAAAGGATCTTTATTACATCACATTACAAGACAAGGTTGTCACGCAGTGGAACACATTATACATTTGTTATGATGACTGCTATGCTGTAGCTGCTCTGGTGTTAGCGATGTTTCCACATCCACTGCCATGCACAGGGAAAGCCGTACCTGTGTTACTGCTAACAACAAAAGGAATACATAGCTTCTAAAACAGGCAAGCTTTTGTTCTTCCCAGAGATGTGTTATACACTGTCTGTAGTGAGACACAGCTACAAAACATACTCCTTTCTGAATGCTCATCGTTGATTCGGTCTGACAAGAAAGGCTGAAATATTTGGTTACAGTGCCGTTATCAACACGAGGAGAAATGTGAAAGCACATTGGAGACAAACAAAAATCCTTGAAATTTCTCATACAAAGATGTTGAGCTGTTTCTAAAAAAAAGGTGTTAAGAGCACGGCCAAACACAGACTTTTTAAAAATGCATTGGCTTCCAGCTGTCACTCAAGTACCTGGGATACCCCTGAAGGTTAGACAGTGTCCTTCATTTGCTGATGCTCTTGATGCCGTATATGGGATTCAGTTTGACATCAGCATTTTATTTTGAGTCGTGGTGCTCTTTCCTACTTGTTGGCCACTCCATTTATAGTTGTCACGTTTCGCTGGTGACCTAGTCTCTGCTCCCTGTAGCATACCACTAATGCCACTGGTAAGAGCCAAAAGAATTTTGGCTGCCTTGTGACACTGCACACTGTAAGATACAGCTCTCTGGGAAGCAGTAGATCTCCTGTGCCATTCAGTGTACGTGCTTGGTTTCGATGTGCTCTGATTTTTAACAGCTTGAATCCAAATTAAATAGTCAAAGCTGACCGTGTTAGGGAATGCCATTTAGGCCTCTAAATGAAGTTGCCACATTTTCAGGTGTAGGGAATACGTGCATGTTCCTTCACCTCCATTAAGAGGGGGTGTGTGTGCGCGCGTATGTGTGTACCACCATAAAAATCAGACCTATAATAGAAACAGCTAAAAGTAATTACCTTGAGGCACCGAAATTTGAAAGTGTTGATCTTCAGCCTTCTGATGGTAGCTTGTATATAGTTAAGGTTCCTATAATGCAGTTAGTAACTTAAGGAGTATTTCTTATATCTTGAGGCATGAGAAGGTTCTTCCTGCTAACACTAATATTAATCTTGTACTGGAGATTAGATTGCTTTCCAAGAATTGGAATCATAGCACAGTTTCTCCATTCTACATTAACAAACTCTTTCGGAGTTGGGTTTTGTTCTCATTAGTAGAGCAGAATCATACCCAATTACGCAAATGAGGCAGACAGAGACTGACATATGCAAATTAGAAAGAAGCCTGGTAGGCAAGAAGAACAAAAAGAGGCAAAAGACTTCAGAAAAGCAGTAGTGTCAGAGAATAATTCATCTAACTACAGGGAACTACTGAAGTGAGTGTGGTGAAAAAGGATTCGCATCAGATGATGTGACGATACAGCTGGGAAAAGATGGAATCCAAAAAGCTTTCCTTAGAGCTCTGGAACAGGAACTGTCTTAACTCCAATATATAAACCACCAAAGTATTTGTTTACATGGGGGATTACTCAGTCTAGCAAAGGGAACTCTTAACTGGGCAACATTTATGAGCACGTACTTGAAACGAACTACAGCCAGGTTGGTATCATTTTTGTTGTCCCCTCAGGGTGTAGGTTGGTGCCCGGTTGGCAGGAGGCAATGAGCACATGGAGTCCAGACCCACCTTCTAACCTTTAGTGTAGTTCTCTACAGAAAGGGGTGTTAGGCAATAGTTCGCAAAGCTAGCACACTTCTTCAGAGGGATTGTAGGTTTTAATACAGTTTACAACAAAGATAAAGTTACACAAAACTTGTTCATTGGTCACCTTTCGATGTTAAAACTAATGCCCTTCTGCACATGCTCTGATTAGTGGCTAGTTCATTATACAGAGGCACTATAAAGCATGTAAGGTCTCCTCCCAGGGGTGTGATTTTTACTGTGCTAATTAGTCTTAGGTTACCTTAGGTTACCCTCAGGCATCCTCCTGTCCCCCCTCTCCCATCCCCCTAGTCAGGAGGGGATTCATCCTCATGGCATTAGCTCGTTCCTGTGCTATCTTGTGATGTCTTGTTATGACTCTACTTTGAGGAGTCATTCATTTCACTTCCATGTAGTGAAAATCCAATTCTGAACTATTTAAGTGACCTTCAGAGACCTTTGTTTTCCATTCTTCTCTGAGCTTGATTTTTAAGTAGCATCTACCAAGATGACCCCACTGAAAGGTGAATGAGAGCTTCTTAACTGAGAAGCTCCTTAAGTAGGATTAGATTAACTCCATTTATAACCAATTTCTTAAATGACTATGGTCGGCAAATTCAATGTGTTAAACATCAGGAAACTCTTCCTATTGCATAGAAAGTAGTTCTAATGTGGTACTAATTGAAAGCCCGATATATTCTGTAGGAGTCTTTCCAATAACTTTAGGTCTGTAAAGTTCAAAGCTCTACAAATTTAATAGTTGCTAAACAGGACAAAAAGAAAGCTTTTTTCTATATCAGAGGGCTTTAATGTACATGTGAAAAATGCAATGCTAAGTGACAGAACAAATATTAAATACAGTGGTGAAGTTTCACATGGGCTTCTTAGCTTTATTCATCTCTGCTCAGACATTATGATAGAGTTGGTTTTTTAATGGTGGAGTTATTCATGCTTTAAAAGTGGATTGCCAAATACGGTTGATAATGATCCAAAGTTCTCCCGGAGTTTCTGGATCATATATAATGACTAACTTTCACAGAGCCTGAAGAGCCAAAAGCTAAAATCATCAACACTGAACTGTCCAGAAAGGGATGGTGGTCTGTCTACTATAGAAAGACAAAGGCTTACATCTTTAAGGGAATTAAATGTCTAAATCCTGTTTAAATTCCCTTCTTTCCACTGAAACCACTGACAACTAGGTCTTTAAATAGAAGTTAAAACCTAAATCTCTCTGTGGTGTTGCACCAAAGTCATCACCTGCAATATCTATGTATATAATGGAAACACCATAAGGAGATATTAAACTGTTTTATCAAATCATCTATTGATTGTTGTGCAATCTATGGGCATCTTTGGGCTACATAACATTTGAAAATGGAGGAAAACAGCTTTTGGAACAGTTTACATGTGAGATAACACATTTGTGAATTACTGTAGGCATGCACCTCTTTTGGATCACCTCACATTAGCCAGATGTTATCACATAAGGAAAAATTTTGAATTTTTAGAAGAAGAACTCTGATGTTGCTGAGGATTTTGACATGATTGTTAATGATGGCACGTTGTCAGGCCTGTCCTTAGACAGGAGATTTAACAACATTTACTGCCAGGGATATCAGATTGTCCTGTGGGCCTGTTTGTTAGATGACATCTAATTAAAAAGGAAAAATTACAGAAATGATTGAGTTTGTGACACAGAGCACTTTTTGTAGATGGTCACCTCTTCGCTTATGTCATGGCAAATGCATGCAGAATCACCAGCTTACTGAGAGGAATGCACTATAGTAATCGTAACAATTATTTTAAGCTGGAATTAATAAAAAATTGGTCTGATGATTTCAACAGTCAGCTCAATTAAATGAAGTATATCGAAAAAGAGATACATGTACCAATAATGCCTTCTCACATGTTTATCCTGAAGTATCATTTAAAAAACACAGTAGACTGAACCGTAGCTGCTTGTGTAGGTTTTTTGTTTTGGTTTTTTTTCC